CCCTATCACAGAAAGATGACTTAGTATTCACTATAATGGCTGCTAATTATTATATAAATACATGTATAAAAAAGATCATGAAAAACAAAGAATAATTTATGATTTCAGGATTCCTGAGAACTAAAAATCCTGACTTGTTCCCCAATCCCAAAGATCTATGCCTCTTGGAAATCTGAAAACACTAAGCAGTGCAAGATATAGTACTACCAAATGCCTGAAATGACCACAGCCAGAAATATTTGGTGAATAGTACTAAGTACAACCCAAATGGTAGTGCCAGAATCCAAATCCAACTTTCTTATTCCAGAACTCATGTTTTGTCTTCTCAAAACTTCCTCTATTGTCACTGATTGTATATTAGTATTTGTTTGCTCATTCGATTATTCCAGGATTCATTCATTTATCCAACAAGAATTTGCTAAGCCCCATGTGAATAGGAATCACATTGGTCTCACACAGTGATGTTCAATAAGTATTTATTGAATACCTGACTACCAGACACTAAAGGTATTATAGCATGAAACAGTAGTCCTAAAAGAATGAGGCACAGGATAGGCCACTTTTGATTGGGAATAGAAGGTAAAATCTAGAAAACAGTGGGACAATTAGGATCTAGAGTGGGGTAGGCCGGGCACAGTGGCTCATTCCTGTAATCCTAGCACTTTGTGAGGCCAAAGTGGGTGGATCACCTGAGGTCAGGAGATCCAGACCAGCCTGGCCAACATGGTGAAACCCCATCTCTACTAAAAATACAAAAATTAGCCAGTCGTGATATCAGGCACCTGTAATCCCAGCTACTCGGGGGTTAAAGGACAGAAGACTGGCTTACGAACACGAAAGAGGTGGAGGTTTGCAGATGAGCAGAGATGGTGCCCTGGGAACAGAGGAGAGATCTGTCAAAAAAAAAAAAAAAAAAAGAAAATGAAAAAAGAAAAGGAAAAAAAAGCAAAAATAGAGTGTCGGGTAATGGCTTCTGAAGTCCACCTAGAAATGAGCGGAGGGAGGGAGGGAGGAAAAAAAGGAGGGAGGGAGGAAGGAACGGAAGGAAGGAAGGAAGGCAAGGACAGGAAGGAAGAGAGGAGGAGGAAGGAAGGAAAATGAACGGAGGTGGGCTTCTAGGAGAAAGATGAGAGCTTGCCAAGACATACAACACACTGAGTAGGAACATGGTCTTTGACATCTGATAGTCCTGCTTTTAATTCCTAATTTTTTGGGCCAGGCACGGTAACTCAAGCCTGTGATTCCAGCACTTTGGGAGGCTAAGATAGGAGGACTCCTTGAGCCTAGGAGTTCAAGAGCAGTCTAAGCAATACAGTGAGATTCCATCACTACCAAAAAAAATTAATTTAAAAAATCCGAATCTTGTGATCTTAATCAAGTCACTGAAGAGCTCTGGGCCTCAGTTTTCTCATTTGCAAAATGGGAACAAAATAATTAACTTTAAAGCTTATTGTATGAGTTAAATACAAAGAAAACACTTAACATAGTACCTGGGACACAGTAAATACTCAGTAAGAGGTCGCTATTAATCATACTTTATTATTCTGCCTGGCTCTCAATATTCCTGAGGATTTTTAAATATTTATAAGAAATATAAATTCCCTGCCTTATAGATTTTTAAAAGTTCCTTCAATGGATGAAGAGTTCTGGACTACGGAGAGAATAAGTAAAATGTAGTCTGACTTTCTGGAGAGAAAAAGTAGCCAAGACTTCATATTTCTCTGCATGTTTGTCCCGAAACCACAAATACAGCATAAAAATAGAGGACTGTGCTTGCTCTGAGATTTGGGATGCACATGCTAGTTAGAAAGAGTAAACAAATAGGCCGGGCACAGTGGCTCACGCCTGCAATCCCAGCACTTCGGGAGGCCAAGGCGGGTGGATCACCTGAGGTCAGGAGCTCAAGACCAGCCTGGCCAACATTGTGAAACCCCGACTCTACTAAAAATACAAAAATTGGCCAGGCATGGTGGCAGTCACTTATAATCCCAGCTACTTGGGAGGCTGAGGCAGGAGAATCACTCAAACCTGGTGGGCGGAGGTTGCAGTGAGCCCAAATCGAGCCTCTTCACTCTAGTAGCCTGGGCAAAAGAGTGAAACTCTGTCTCAAAAAAAAAGAATAGACAAATATATCCAATGTGTTTGCAGTATCTTTTCTCTCAAGATATAATAAATGTGAGCTGGGCACAGTGGTTCACGCCTGTAATCCCAGCTCTTTGGGAGGCTGGGGCAGGTGGATCACATGAGGTCAGGAGTTCAAGACCAGCCTGGCCAGCATGGTGAAACCCTGTCTCTACTAAAAATACAAAAATTAGCTCGGCATGGTGGCAGGCGCCTGTAATCCCAGCTACTCGGGAGTCTGAGGCAGGAGAATCGCTTGAACCCGAGAGGTGGAGGTTGTAGTGAGCTGAGATTGTGCCATTACAATCCAGCCTGGGCAACAGAGCAAGACTTTGTCTCGGCCGGGCGCGGTGGCTCAAGCCTGTAATCCCAGCACTTTGGGAGGCCGAGACGGGCGGATCACGAGGTCAGGAGATCAAGACCAGCCTGGCCAGCATGGTGAAACCCTGTCTCTACTAAAAATACAAAAAAAAAAAAAAAACTAGCCGGGCGAGGTGGCGGGCGCCTGTAGTCCCAGCTACTCGGGAGGCTGAGGCCGGAGAATGGCGTGAACCCAGGAGGCGGAGCTTGCAGTGAGCTGAGATCCGGCCACTGCACTCCAACCTGGGCGGCAGAGGGAGACTCCGCCTCAAAAAAAAAAAAAAAGACTTTGTCTCAAAAAAAATAATAAAAAAAAGATGTAATAAATGTGGTAGCCATTCTTACTCAAGCCTGTTGTGAGATCATGGTGCATCCCATGGTTGCTTATCTTTTTCAAGGGCTTCACCTGTCCTGAAGAACAAACTGTTTGAGGTACTTCACTTTCAATTAAGAAGAGGATCCACAGCTTGGGGGCAGCTTTCTCCAGTTAGAGTTCTGGAAATGACCAAGTCAAGAATGTTTCCATGATTTCCTAAGAGATGATTACCTCATATGCCTACAATGCAAAGTTGCACGTGTTTTTTCAAAAACACATTCCAGACATATGTCAGCTTGTGCCCATCTTGATCTGTCTGGCCAGAAATGAGGCAAGAAAGAGGTGCCATGATGGAAAATTTATCCGGTGAAGACTTTCAACTCTGTGTTGTAGGGACCTTGTATACCATGTTAGAGAGTTTAGACTTATCACTTTAACCAATGGTCCTTAAAGCGATGGAGAGGTACCAAAGGGTTTAATGGGGGTTGGGTTTGGGAAGACATGATCAGATTTATACTTCAGAAAGGTCACTCTGGCTGAAGTGAGAAGAATGGATTGCAGCACAGAAAACCTTAGAGGCAGGAGGAGAGGCAGAAGGCTACTGCAGAAGACCGAGTGAGAGGTGAAGGTAGCGTAGACCAGGCGGTGGTGATAGAGATGGAGAAAGGGGGACAAATTCTTGGAGATGTTTGGAAAGTCTCATCACACAGGATTTAAGTTGTTTATTAGATGTGGAGAACGGGGAAGAGGAAGGAGTAAGAGAATGCTGCTCAGATTTTTGGCTGGGGCATCTGAGTAAATGGCAGTGAATTCACTGAAATTAGAACTCTGGTGGAGGCACAGGTTGGTAGGAGCCAGGAAGTTCAGTTTAGGACATGCTCACTTAGAGCAACTCGTGGAACCTCCAAGTGGAGATGCAGGTTGTCAGCTCTCTGATTCTCAGTCTAGGGCTCTCTTTGCTGCTCCATAGCTGCTTTACGCCCCAAGCACATCTCAGACTTGGGGATGGAGGGGAGGAGGTGCCATCAGGGATCTTTAGTCATAGCTGGCATATATTGGCCCAGATGGTTTGGCTGGGGAATCCCTTTTGGTGTTAGGGGAGATAATGTGTTGGGGTGGGGAGTGCAGCGAGGAAACTTTGATATGACAATATTCTCATTTCCAAAAGCATTGATCCACTATAGCAATATTGTAATTGATTCAGGCAAGGGCCATTGATGGATGCTAAAACAAGTTTGTTTGTAAACAAGCTATTTACCCAGTCTAAAATTATCCTCCTGAAGATGATTACCACAAAGGAAAAATGTTTTAGAGTGAAGAAATATGGGTAACACCACCAGTACCTCCCTATAGATTATTTATTACAAAGAGGGAGAGATTCCCCAGAAGTGGAACACTCACACAGATACTACTTTGACCACATGATCAACATTTACCTTCACCACCAATGGGGCAAACTGACATCAGGTGCCCCCTAATATGACACACTGAGAAGGACACAGTGTGTGCATAATTTGAATCTCACACCAGACAAATCCCAGAGACATGCTAGAGAACAATAGGCCTGCACTCTTCAAAAATGCCAATGTCTTAAAAGACAAAAATTGGGAGCCTTTTCATTCTCAAATAAAAGAGACTAAAGAAGCATGACAACTGGTTGGGTGCGGTGGCTCACGCCTGTAATCCCAGCACTTTGGGAGACCGATGTGGGCGGATCACGAGGTCAGAAGATCAAGACCATCCTGGCTAACATGGTGAAACCCCGTCTCTACTAAAAATACAAAAAATTAGCCGGGCGTGGCGGGTGCCTGTAGTCCCAGCTACTTGGGAGGCTGAGGCAGGAGAATGGGGTGAACCCGGGAGGTGGAGGTTGCAGCGAGCCGAGATTGTGCCACTGCACTCCAGACTGGGTAACAGAGTGAGACTCCATCTCAAAGAAAAAAAAAAAAAAAAGAAGCATGACAACTAAGTAGAAATACAAAGTCCTGGGTTGGGAAAACATGTTATAAACCCCAATATCAGAAAGACTGGCAAAACTTGGATATGATTGTAATCAGTAAGAGATTAATATCTGTGTTAAATTTCCTAAATTTGATCATTGCACTCTGTCTTTGTTCTTAGGAAACACTTGCTGATATGTTCAGGTGGGAAGGGTCATGATATCTGCAACTTATCTCAAATAGTTCCTAACAATAATAATAATAAATGTACATATAGAGAAAGCAAATATAGCAAAATGTCAATAACTAGTGAATGTAGGTGAGAGGATACAAGTGTTTGATGTATTCTTTTTGCAGCTTTTCTGGGAGTTATATATATTTTTTTTTTCAAAAGGAAAAGAAGCAAAAGCAGAGGGAGTTCTAAACATTGAAGACTCTAACCAGTGTTTTTTTTTTTTTTAAAGGTCAAATATTTTAATATTATTTTTTCTAGCCACTAAATTCCATCTTAATGAAATATCAAAATAGGAAACAGGTGAAGGAGTAATTTCCTGCACTGCCAGGCTTATAAGAATGTACAGTATTTGCTTCAATTTCAAACCTGCACTGTTTAAAAAGGAATTTGTTTTCTTTTAAATCCAGGTACCAAAGTTGAAAGCCCCGAATGTCCAGAGAGCAGCTGGAACAAGAATTGCTGCCTGCAGGCGCTTCTGTCCACCAGCCATGCATCAGTGAGTGGCCCTGGACCCAGCCACTGTGTGTGCACCTGCGGTTCCTGCCATGGGGAGCAGGAGCCATTTGGCTGCTCCTCTTCACAGGGCACCACCTGCGATCTTTCACTGCCCAGGTGAGCAGAGCGCAGGAAGTCGGGGAATCAGAGCACTGAATGAATCTTGGAAAGCACCCAGTCCAACTCTCCCCACCTTCCCATCTGTGGCATTAATCACCTCTATAACGTTGTAACCAACTGGTCAACCAACCTCTATTTGAACATAGCCAGTGGCTAAAACGTCTAAGCAGCTCACCCATTTTTAAATAGCTTCAATTGTTTGGATATCCTTTCTCTTAAAAATAAGTATCAGTACAAAATGCCTACTTCCATTTTGTAGGTATCTGGTAAACTTTTTTTAATAAAAAAAGTCAAGTCAGATTAACTAAAACTGTGGAACACCTTGAATATTTACAGTCAATAACTAAAGTCATATATTTCAGATCCTTCAGCCGGGCATCGCTATAAAATAACATTTGGAAATCACAGAAATTTACTCTTAAAGGGCCTTTCTTGTTCATTGCATTCTGAGATATACCCATTTTATGGCCATATATTTGAAAGCAAACAAAAATAGAGGAAAATTCTATGGACATGTAGTAGGCATATGTGTATGTATGGATAGCACGTTTGCATGTGCATAGATAGGGACATGGGAGGATAGATATCAAGGGTATTCCTAGGGATTGTGAGTGAGTAAAGGAAAAGAGGCTTTTACTCTCCACCTTAGACATTTTGTTATTGTTTGATTTTTTTAAAGAAAGAAACAGTATGTTGCTATTTTTATCACTTAAAACCATTTTCTCAAAAATTTACAAAACAACAAAAAAGAGAAATCACTTACATTGAGCTGAAATCTGATTGCCCAGAGTTTCCATTTTCTACTGCACTCTGGACAACTTAAGATAAGCCCACTCCTTCTTGCACATAGCAGCGAGTCAGCTGTCTGATGCCAGTCCTTGAGGCCTCCATATTTCTCTTCTGCAAGATAAATGTTCCCATTTCCTTCAGCCGTCTCTCAGTTGGCAGGAATTCAAGTCTTCTTGACTTCTTGTCACTGCCCTCCTCCCACTGAAGTAGAGCATATCAAGTGGGCGCAGAGAAAAATCCATTCAGAAGTTCAGGTGGCAGTTGGTCATCTGTTGAAAATTAGCAAGTCCATGGTTCTTTGTGTTCTTGCACCAACTTGGCCTAACTTTTTGGGGTCTCAGGTGCTGTATTAAAGGTGCTCTATTTCATGCATCAGTGATGGATGAAAGCTGGTCTGCAGGGCACGCATGCAGTTATAATCAGAACACAATGGCGAGCTTTCCCAACACTTATAAAACCTGGCTGATTTATCAATGTCAACTCAGGACAAGAACGGTAAGGAAAATGTGTAAAGGGAGTAGTAGGAAAATATGTTCCCCGGTAATCAGAAGAATTAACAATGGGATAGCCAGGATAAGGATGTTATGGCAGCACATGACCAAGATAAGAACACATAGCAAAGTAGTCAACAGGATCAGCTCTTCCACATACTTGCTGTGTGACTTGGGAAGGTTTCTTAACCACTCTGTGCCACAGTTTCGTTATCTGTAAAATGGGGATAATAGTGGTCCCTACTTCATACAGCTAACACAAGGTTTAAATGAGCTGTCCTTTAAAAGTGTCTCTGGCACGTAAGATATGCTACTTAAGTGTCTAACAAACAAAAAACAAATGAGGTGACTGATTTCATGGTTTCTGACTGGAATGGTCAGAGGAAATAATGTAAACAAGAGGTGTGCGAATGGACCTCCTTGGCAAATTTGAGGATTAAACTGTGCTCTGTTTAGGAAACATAATAAAGAATAGAGTTCTATCGGCTGAAGCATTCCACCTGTTGCAAACACAGAGGAAATTGTCCTTTCATAGATTAGTGCTTTGGACACCTGCCTGCCTGCCATTTCTTCCTTGTCAATAAAGGCTAAAATAGACCAACCCCATTAGTACCAGGAACATATAAATATGTTAAACGGTTGGTACAATGAATCCTATTCAAAAGAAGAATGACTGAAAGGGAAACAACTACCACTCCTAGTTATTGCCATTCCTTCATGTACATGGGGCCCCATGGAGTTTATTTAGGGCACACAATTGAAGTACATTTCTTTATAATTTTCTCCTGCAATGGATCAGCAACGTTTGTGAATGAGGCAAACTGGACGTTTGGCAGAACCAGAGTTCATACTACGCTGAACATATCAGTAAAATACAAATTATCCTTGAACTGGGTCTTTTCTAATTCCAAGTTCTTCTCCCACTGTCTTTAGCTTTTCCTGTGTTCTAATTCAAATCCCTGAGAGTGTAATGACCTTCACCCAGACTATGGGTCGCTAAGAATGTTCAGTGTAGGATGTTGATCTTGAGGCATTGAAAAGGGCACTGGTTCTGCTCATTATTGGTGGGGGACTCCTCTGGAAAAACATCTTGCACTACTGAGCACATTTCTTCATCAATCTTTATAAAATCTACAATTTCTCCTATACAGTCATTCTGAGTATCAAATGGTATTGGTAAAAACACTTTTCGGACACCAAACCTGGAATTGAAAGCTCGAATGCCTGTGGCAGCCAGAGAGGTAACATAAATATGTGATTAGCGGAAAGTGTAACACTGTAGAGAGTGGTGATGACTGTTGACAAAGTGGGAAGTGTATGTCCAGCCTAAAGACATTCAAATTCAAGGGTTAAAAAAAGTGATACTGGTGAAACAATATTGCCTAATGTCAGATTAGTTCATGGACGGGATTTGACCTACAAAACACCTGCTTGCAACTCTCAGAAATAAAGAGCAATATGGTATGGTAGAGAGGAAGAAAATAGATTTTGGCGTTAAACTGGCCTATGTTTAAACTGGTAGTATGATCTCAAGTAAGTTAATGAAGGTCTTTAAGACTCAATTTTATGTATCTATAAAATCCTGTCTCCGGGAATGTTATGAAGATTTTAGAACAATGTAAACTTATTACCAATAATTATTAATTAAAGAAATTCAAGTCTTTCTATGTAAATATCCTGCCCACTTTATCCTAGAGTGCTCACAGCAACATTTTTCACCCAGTTTATTCTTGTTCAAAGTGTTGAGGTGTCCAAGGACAAGCTGAAGTTAGAAAGATAAAAGCATGAAGATATAGTGGGTGAACCTAGAGGAAGACTGCCAAGACTGCGCTGGCTTTGTCTTCATGTTATCCCACACTCTGAGATCTGACCTTTGGCCTCCCAGTCCAGCAATCACTTCATTACAACACTCAGAAATGAGGAGACACATAGTAATGAACTCCAGTGGAGTTCACATGCAACAGGGACAGGAAACCTAATGTCTATGTGTTTTTTTCTTTAGGGTGGGTATTGATCTCCAGGTGGAACTATTTATATCCTTAAACCAAGGCAACTCACTCTCAATATTAGAGTGTCCAAGAAACTGCAGCCATCTCACTTGGCCTCCCTTGTGCTACATCTGGTTGATTATAATACTTGCTTTAAATTTAAAAAGAATATATATGTGATACCTTTGTGAAGGAAAAAAATACAAACAAGAAAAAAAAAGAACTGCTTTATTTCTGAATTTAGAACCAGACATTAATTCTTGTTTCAGACTGTCATGACCACAAGGAAATGAGAAATATTTCCTCATTATTTCTTTCAGATGCTTCAAAATATTTAGAAGTTTTAGGACTTTCTTTGGCCAAAGTCTGGCTGAGGTAATATATTTTCTCTGTTCCTGAGTCTGGGGTGGTAAAGGGGAAATAAAGAATAGCAGGAATCTATTCCAACTAGGGTTGGCAGATTTAGCAAATGAAATTTGAATTTCAGATAAAAACGAGTTAGTTTTTAGTATAAGTATGCCCCCATTCAAATTGGCAATATCTGCAATTTATGGGATATACTCATACTAACAAACTATTGTTGCTTATCTGAAATTCAAATTTCACTGAACATCCTGTATTTTTATTTGGCAACCCTAATCACAACCCACAAGGCAAAAGCCCTCATCAGTGGCTTCCAAAAGTGTATAATATGGAGAGAGAGCTCTCTCTTTCATTAGTGTTGGGGTGTCGTGGAGGTTGAGGAGGTATATTTTCTTCGGAGACTGATTTCTCTGAGCCTCAAGCACTAACAGCTGTTAGATCTCTATGGTCTTCCAGCCAACTATCATGGCATCTGGTGATGGGGACCAATGAGGAGCGAGCTGAAGAAAACCCTTCCCTCTATGTGCTTTTAGAACAGAGATGAGTTGCTTTTAGAGATAAAATATAGCATATTAGGACAATCAAAGAGAAAGTGTCAAATAGGATATAGGAATAAATTATCTGAAAATCAGAATTATGTATGTAACCATTACTTATAAATGGAAATGATTTTGGAGACAATCTCCTCTCTTCCTATCATTTTACAAATGAGAAGACAGACTCAAAGCAGTTTCCTTTCTGGAATGTGATGGAAGGGGTGCGTGTCTGTGTGTGTGTACATGTGTGTACGTAAGTCTAGCAGTAGTAGTAGCAGTAGTAGCAGAAGGAGATGGTGAAGGAGAAAAAGGAGGAGGCAGAGGAGAAGGAGGAGGAGGGAAAAAGGGGATGGAGGAAGGAAACTGAGGCAAAAAGACCAGAAGTACAAATACCGTTCCACTACACCTGTCCTGCTACACGATCATGGGTTTCTACAACTGTTTTTCCTATAACTTTTTTAAAACGTACATAAATAATACACATTCATTAGAGAAATTCATTACATACAAACAAACAAGCAAAACCTCTTCCATGAATCTAACATACAGATATTACTATTGTTAACATTTTAGTGTATAGAGAAAGTACTTTGGTATGAAAGACCCAGCATTCATTCTGCCTTCTTCAGGGAGCCACACCCACATTTTGCTCTGGGGATAGCCACTCAATCAGTGGAATATCATTTCTAGTGGGACTACCAACCTAGGTGTCGGGTCCTTTGCTGGCAAAGCAGTAGGCAGGTGACCAAGCTGTGATTTCGGTCTGTAGCTAAGTGACCCTTGAAGACTGAAAATGCTGGAGTTTCTTCCTCCCGAGAGGGGAACACTAATGAGATCACTCATCGTCACCCATATGATGCCCTGTGCAAGAGACAGAGGCCCATCAAGAATGAAGTCTAGTTCCCCACCCCTTGAATCTGGGATGCGTTGGGATTTGCTTTAGCCAGGAGAATGCAGGAACAGTGAGGGTGTGTCAGCTCGGAGCCTCAACTTCTAGAGGGCTTGTGTGCTTCCAGTCTCTCTTGGAGCCACCAGAACAAAACTGGTGTCAGCTGCTGGAGGATGACAAACTACTTGGAGGAGAGCACAGGGGTCTCGGCCAACTCTCAGAAGCAGAACCACCTTGTGCACACACAGCTGACTTCAGATACATGAAGAAGACTACTTTTATATCACAAGCTAAACAAATGTTCTAAGCCTCTAAGTTTGAAGTGGTAGGTTATGCAGCAATACCTAACTCATACTTCTATGAACTTCCACATCTTTCCGATAAATTCCTTTTTGTGTGACTTTCTATAGCTACAAAGAACTCTATTAGACACTTTCCAACTAGTCTCTCATTCTTTTAACAGAATGTGATTATATCACACATCCTCTTTTGTAATCTACTTTATTTCACTTTGCAACTGATTTTGAGCATCTTTCCCAAACAATCAAATGTACACAGTTAAAAAAGGAAAATCTTCCATATGCCACTTCTGAGCCTCTGCCCAAACCAAGTTTCATCATGACATTATGGCCACCAGCCAAAATGCCATTTGTAGGTAGGCCTAGCATGATCTGTTCTGTCCAGAAGGAAGTGCCTTTAGCTTGTTTCTCCATGAGATTATTGGACAGCACTGTGACTTTTCACAGCTTGATGACCAGGAAAAGGACACAGTCATGCCTCAGAGGTGCTTGAGAACATTAACCTTCCCAGGCACCGTCTACCTCTTTGGACAAAGAAAGCAATAATTGCATTCAGAATGTTCTATCATTTACAAACATATAAAACTTATGGACAGCGAAGACAGAAAAAGAGATAGACATTCCACATAATGATTTTCTCTTCTGACCCAAAACTGAGTGATTGGAACTCTCCAGTCCTTTTATTCCTGGTCATCCTATTTCCATTATCCTTTTTTTTTTTTTCCACCAAAAGGCAGATTTAATTTGAGATATCATTCGTTTGGCAGAGTAGGGCAAGGGGAGAGTGCAAGGCCTGCCCCGTAACTCTAGTCTCTAGTCTTCATGCTAATGAAAATACATTACTATTTTCCAAGGAAATTAGTGTTTGTAAAATGGATCCCCTGCAACTGTGCGCATGTTTCTATTGGAAGGAATTTTCTGAATGCGTTATCAGCTTTGGTCCCTTCCAACAGGCACACAACTGGAGGTCTATTCTTATCTTGCTTGCTTTTCCTTTGGATTTGATTTTTTGTTGATAACAATAATTCCTATGGCATTCATCTCATTTAATCCTCATCAAAACTCCATTAAGTAGATATTTTTATTATTCTCCTTAGAGAAGGCAAGTAAATGGTGTGAAGTCTTGTAGCTAATAAATGACAGAACTGGGATGCCACCCTTGTTTGTCAAACTCCCAAATCAGGATGTTTTACCTTGATGTCTTCATGTCCCAATTCCTACTGAATTTTAAATACAATAAAGACATAAAAAATTAAATCACCAAAGTATAGGTTACTTTTTTTTTAAAGTAGGCAGTGATAAGTGGCCTTAATGAGTTTCCTTCCAATCCTAAAAGAGTATAATGTTGAAATCCCTGTCTCTTTTCCCCCTAGGCAGCATCTTCAGACTTCCAAATAAGCCTGAAGAGGACAGAAGAGCGAGCAATGTCTCCCTGAATGGGACTACAGGGAACTCTGGTAACCACATGTCATTCAGCAACTTGAGATACATCAGCAATATTACTACAAGCAGTCGCTTAGGTACTTGACTGTGAGCAGGAATACAAGACAAGTAGAACACACTGGCTCTCATTTTTTAAAGATGATTTCACCTTAAGTGGTAAATACTTACAGAAAACAAAAAAGCACCTACAAGTTAAACTAAAAGGATTATGACACAGGTCAGCACTGTCCAACAGAACTTTCTGTCATTATGCAAATGTATTATATCTGTGCTGTCCAATATGTGACATATCCAATATATTACCCACCTATGGCCATGGAACACATGAAATGTAGCTAGTATGGTGGAGGAACTCATTTTTAAATTTTAATTATCTTTGTTAGCTTAGTTAACTTTAATTAACTGAAATTTAAATTAAAATAGCCAAATGCGGACAGTGGCTACCATATTGGACGTCACAGCTATAGATGGCCATAGAAGTATGGTGAAGTGGTCAGGGAAGTCCTCATCAAGAAAGTACAGTCCGAGGAGCTTTTGAAGTGGGTTACAGAGGGAAGAAAATGCAACTGGATTGAGAAAGAAGGGAGGAAATGAACGAAACACAAGATTTGTTCTAGTAAAAGGCCTGGGGTTACAGATTCAAATGCCTACAGAAAGAATCATAAGGTGGGCCAGTAGGCCCGGCACGGTGGCTCACGCCTGTAAACCCAACACTTTGGAAGGCCAAGGCGGTCAGATCACTTGAGATCAGGAGTTCAAGACCAGCCTGGCCAACATGATGAAGCCCCATCTCTGCTAAAAATACAAATATTAGCTGAGTGTGATGGTGCCTATAATCCCAGCTACTCAGGAGGCTGAGGTGGGAGGATCACTTGAACCTAGGAGCCAGAGGTTGCAGTGAGCCAAGATTGTGGCTTTGCACTCCAGCCTGGGTAACAGAGAGGATTGGTGGTGGGTTATGGGGACTATGGAGATTAGAGACCCTACCCCATCTAGTCAGCTCCAGCCAGTTATCGCCATACAGAAATGTAGGCTCAATGTTGACTATCTTCTTAGAAACTCCAATTTTATGTTAAGTCACCTAATTTTAAGTCTTGGCCACAGTGTGTGCTAAACATTCTTAGCAGATGCTATTGGTGCTCCACTCATATCCACTCAGCACTCCCCTCTGCAGGTGAGGCTGCCTACCGTGATTGCCTTCAACTCTGCCTGAAGACACTGTGCACACATTTGACCCTCATGCAAGCATCTGGGACTGCCAAAACGCTAATGCCCTTGCAAGCAGCTTGCAAAAAATGAGAGGAAAGTACATAAATATGCTAATCTTACCTCTCAGTTAGGATAGCTCTGAGGTATGTTCTGTATTGCCTCCCAGAGTTTCCTTGTGTGACTGAGCTCCAGCTGCCACAGTACGATCTGGTAGATAATGTGCCATTCATTGGAATCCATCCCTTTTCCTTCTCACTTTCCCACTTGCCTGTGTACTGATGTTTCCTGGGATCACCTCCCAATAAACTACTTGGACACCAATCTATATCTCAGAACCTGATCCTGGGAGGAACCCAAACAAAGACACTGTTGTAGCAAACAAACTCAAATCCCAGTGGCAAACACAACGACGTTTCAAACTCACTCACATCACAATCCAAAGAGGGTCACTGTGGAGACTGTTCCATCATCCAGGGAGCCAGGCTCCTTTCATCATGTGGCTCTGCATCTTCTATGACACCTTCCTTCTCTGCATTCAGTTGCAGATGGGGACAGAGAGAGAACGTGGTGGGCTGGGAGGAGGATTTTTACTGTTAAGGCCTGGAAATAGTGGCCAGCACTTCCATTCATATCCATTGACAGAACTCGTCATATGGTCCCTCCTACTTGCTGGGGACGCTGGGAAATGTAGTGCAGCTGTGCATCAACTGTAGAAGGAAATAAGTTTGCTGAACACATAGCAGTTTCTGCTGCTGCAACTTACTTACTTATTTATTTATTGAGACAGATCTCACTGTGTCACCCAGGTTGGAGTACAGTGGCATGATCTCAGCTCACTGCAACCTCTGCCTCCAGGGTTCAAATGATTCTCCTGTCTCAGCCTCCTGAGTAGCTGGGATGACAGGCATGTGCCACCTCACCCAGCTAATTTTTGTATGTTTTTAGTAGAGATGGGCGTTTCATCATGTTGGCCAGACTGGTCTTGAACTCCCGGCCTCAAGTGATCTGCCCACCTTGGCCTACCAAAGTGCTGGGATTACAGGCGCGAGCCACTGCGCCCAGTCTGCAACTTATTTAGATGTAAAAATACTGTCCAGGCCAAAGAAGCTATGCTTGTGGACCATAGTCAGCTTGTGGAACACCAGTTTGGAACCTGTGGTCCAGATGTTATTCCCTAGAGTTGAGGGTGAAAAATTTTGCTAGCAAGCCACCCAACAAGTTCTTAACTTGTACAGAAATGTTTGACACATTTTATTCAACAGTGTGGTAAAATGACTATACGAAAATCGAATCAATTCTCTGCTGACTGAGTTTATAATTTCAGAGAGAAAATGATCATTTCATTTCTGATAGTTCTTACATGAGCAGTGGGTCCCTAATGAGATAGCCGTGACTTCCTTCATCCTCTGTCAAGTGATTATCTATCAGTAGGTCGTGTCAGTGTAGCCCCACTTCCACCTCATCTTCACCCTCTCCCCCTGATTCCCTACGCTCCAGCCCCACTGCTTGTTTCTCAAACTTGCCAAACTTTTTACACCTCCAGAATTCTGCAAACGCTGTTCACTATTCCAGAAATGCGTTCCTGCTCTCCTGTCTTCTCTTTGCCTCATTCTTTACCCAACGGGGTCCCCGGTATCTGTCAAGTCTTGGCATAGATGTTCTTTCCTCATAGAAGCTTTGATTGACCACCCAAAACAAAGGGGCTTTTCTCCACCCACCATTATTCCCACTCCTTCTATCTATCATGATTCAGAACCATATCTGCATGTTTAACACACAGCTCCAGAGGCTGCTCACTGCAGCACTGTGCATGGAGCTCAGTACAGTATTTGGACATTGTCAGAGTTCAAAGATAGTTGAATAAATAAATGAATTCCAAGAAAACTTCACTGCTTTAGAGAAGTTTGTGTGGGTACCTTTTATGATTAAAATAACATCTCCCCATCTGTCTTGAAAGTTTAGTTAAACTTGATTGGGACTTAATGAAGAGAAATATTTATATATTGAATGCTACCTGAGGCAAAGAAATAAAATAAAAATCCTCTCTTTATCTCAGAAATCCCTGAACTCAGTCTCTTCTAAAACTAACCTAGATACAACTCAGTGTGATCATTTATGTCAACAGGGGTGGAGAGATGAAAGCTCTTTGAAAAAGTGAAAGTGACATTACAATGCAAAATGTTAATTCCTAAAAGCATCATTGACCTAAATAATCTAACAAGTTGCCCAGGGGGGAAAAAAATAGGAATCAGCTTTGATTTTTCCCCACCCCTTCCAATCTCTCTGCCATCATTCTGAGCTGTACTTCCAAACAGCTCAGCTTCACCTCTTGCCTCTTCCACTTTTGCCCGAGATTGTGTCTATCCAAGCTGCTGAATGCAAAATGAAGCTGTCTATCTAAGAAGCACGGTTACTTATTTAGTTAGAAATGTAATTTTTTGTTTTGGGGTTTTGTTTGGGAGGGATTTGTTGCCAAGTGGTAGAATTTGAAAGTGTTTTCCCTATAGGAGGCAGATTCGGAAGTCTGGCCTGAGACTCTTTTGGAAGCTGAAACTAATTAAAATCTTTTTTTCGCCCCTGTAGCTAAGACGCAGCAGGGGAGATAGTCCAGCATTCGTTTTATGAAGGTGTAACTATATCCACTAACCTCTTGTGTACCACATTCAGCGTCTGCCCCAAGGCTGCCACACCTGCTCAAACACCTGCCCAGTATGTGAGTATTTGGTAGAACGGTATTTAATGGCTTATCTAAGGGCACCCAGGGTCACCCACCTTTACCTGAGGACAATAGAGTCTTGTTCCACATATTTATTACCTATACACTCACCTCTGAGTGGAGTACTATCCTGGTTTCACCTTCTATGAGATCTGATAAGCAACACAAAAGACAAATAGAAAAAGAGAAAGAGAAAGAGAGAAACTAAAAAATAATTGTGTGTCATTTAAAAAAAAAAATCACAGGCTGGGCGTGGTAGCTCACGTCTGTATTCCCAGCACTTTGGGAGGCTGACACAGGTGGATCACAAGGTCAAGAGATCGAGACCAGCCTGGCAAACAGGGTGAAACCCTGTCTCTACTAAGCCTCTGTTTTGTCACAAAAGGGCAGTGGTAATAGGTCATGACTCACCTTACTTGTGAAGATGCAATGAGTTAACACACACACAATGCCTGGCACATCATCTAACACATCACCTAGCACACAAGACATGCTGAACCAAGGTTTGCCATCATTCTCCTCAAAGCCCACACACAGCTAGAGGGTTGAGAGCAAGGCTGCCAACCCTGGTTGTTTAATTCTGCTCATAAAGCTTCTGTATGTTCCATCTGCAAAAACTAAATTCAGAGAAAAATAACTGGAAATAGAAAAGGGTGGTCAAGGAGAACACCAGAGCCAGAAGGAGGCGAAGACCAGTTCCTTGTGTATCTGGAACTTGCCCTATAGGGGTTCTTTGCCTCCTATACCAGGCCCTGGAGGAAAATCTGTTTGGTGAGCTAAGAAGTATTTGTTTTTCTAATCAGGAGAAGTCTCTATAAGGCTCCTAGAATTCTCATCCTTGATGTTGAAAGAAATTATAATGTGCATATTTTATTGTTACAGGCCAACTCCTCGTTTTCCTTCCCCCACCTTACTCCTCATTCTCCCCATCCTCCGCTTCTTGACATTGGCCTGGTTCTTCAATCCACCTGAAATCCCACCACCTCCCCAGGGTTCTGGTCTCCCCTTTCTCTGAAGGCTGAAACATTTATTTTTAGTTTAAACATTTAATTGGTTTTCCTGTTTCATAGGGACTAATACCCCCCCAATAGATGATGTACTTCCTTTGTGTACTCCACAGGGATTGATACTAAGTTTCAAACCTAGAAAGTTCTAAATAGATATGCACTTTGTATAAATTATTGTTGAGAAGTGGACTGATTCTAGCATTTGTGAAACTCCCGCCTGGTAATACGTCTGTATTACAACTGAATACAGTTGTAATACAACTGAAAACTTGGCAGAGAGTTTTAAGGCTTGGTCCCCACCCTCAAGGTACTTTCATCTGTAAAGAGAACAAAGCCCGGCCAGGCATGGTGGCTCACGCCTGTAATCCCAGCATTTTGGGAGGCTGAGGCAGGCAGATCATCTGAGGTCAGGAGTTCAAAACCAGCCTGATCAACATGGTGAAACCCCATCTGTACTAAAAACACAAAATTAGCCAGGCGTGGTGGTGCATACCTGTAATCCCAGCTACTCGGGAGGGTGAGGCAAGAGAATTGCTTGAACCTGGGAGGCAGAGGTCGCAGTGAACCGAGATCATGCCATTGCACTCCAGCCTGGGCGACAGAGTGAAACGCCGTCTCAACAACAACAACAACAAAAAGAGAGAGAAAGAGAGAGAACAAAGCCCATAGCCTTTTATACCTGGGAGGCACTGAGGCAGAAAAGTTAGCATTATGGGTTAATTTCCCTTGTTTTTTTCTTAACAGTAAAATGGATATAACAGTGGTACCTACTTCATGGGGTCTTTGTCAGGTTTAAGTCAGATAGTGCAGAGCCTAGCATATCCTAAGAGTTCAAATATAGCTAAGGTAGGTTCAGAAATTAGAAAAGCAATTGTTCAAATGCCACGGGGAACAACAAACATCTTATAATTAAAAGGCTCAACTGGGTATATTTCCAGAGACAGCTGAGCTGCTGTCAAGTTATTTTAAAGGTATTTTATGCTAAGTACATAGTCCACAGTAGAGATAGACACTTCTGCTCATGCTAATTTCTATGCAATAGGGCAGGGGAGAGGAACCAAGAGTTGAAGCAATGGAAAGGAGTGTGCTTCAGGGCCTGGGAAGTCCCAGGTGGGAGGAGACTCTGAAAGTCAAGGCCATCATTGCTCTCCCCTACCTGAATCAAAGGAATGAGTAAATTGGAGACAAATTGGTAGAGTTCCAAGTCATGAACCTGAAAGAGTTTCGTTGCTTTATATTCCATTATGAGGAGAGGGTAGGGTTGAGTATGCTGACCTGCAGTGAAGCTGTGTTTTTTTTTTTCCAACAAAGGCCCCATTTCAACATGGGCAAAATTTCCTTTTTTCTGAGGCTGCTTTAGGGAAAGCAAAAGGGAAAACAAGCAGGCAGATCAGACATTACTGAGCTGAAATCATCTGGGCTCAGAGGCATCTCATGGGATAGCAGACGGACTCTATGAGCCCTTGGGTCCAACTTTGGCACAGGGGGTTGGGGGGTCCCACTCTTTGGGAAATGACTTTGGTCCACACTAATGTACTCTATTAAAGGAGCTCCAGGAATCCTTTGAATAGGATTCTAGCAGTTTCTAGCATTTGCTGGTCCTGTTGGAAGTATCCATAACACTAAAATGCAGCTTCCCCAGCCACTGCATTTAGGGTAAGGGTACCACACATAGCAACCAGGGGCATCTTGTTCAAAGCCTCCCGTTCCAAATTTAACTTGTGTTTTTGGTGAACTTGGTTGTGGGTGGAGTTGACACCTGCCAAGAAGGTCCCAGGTTGATCCTATTAATAGGCACCACTGTAGCTAAGGAAGTTACAGTGCTAAGTTGCACTTGGTTGAACTATAGCTTTGAATGTGATTATCCTCCTCGCCTGAATGAAAAGAAAAGAGAACCAC